GGAGGCTGAGGAAGGATTACTTGAGCCCAGGAGTTGGAGGCTGCTATGAGCTATGATGACACCACGGCACTCCAGCCTGGGCAACAGAGACCCTGTCCATTAACAAAAAGCAAATATCAATATCTAATATATATATAATATATATAACATATATGTTATATATAATATATATTATATGCAACATATATAACATACATACCTAACAATTATCAGTACCTAATACAATGAAAATACATATTATTGTCAGTTATAGGATACAACTAATGTGGTCCCTAAGATGAAAATTTATAATCCTTAACACTCTGGCTACTGAACAAGAGAGAACAAAAGTAAACAAATTACGATCTCGATTCAAAAGTTTGGGGAGGGGGGAAACTCTAAAAAAAAGCAGAAATTAAGATAAAAGAGAAAAGCAGTCAATTGATAAATATCGATCCACCGATGAAGCAAATTCCTTGGAAGAACAATCAATAAAGTAGATAAAGCCCAGGCAGCTGAGTCAAGGACAGGAACAAAGAGGAAGGAACATAAGTAAACGTCAGCAGAGACGGGCTGCAGCTCCTCACGAGCAAACAGACAACTGAGAGGTGACCCCACACGCTCTTAAAGAACAGAACCTTGGGGCGTTTTAATACGTGGCTGAGAGGATTTTTTAAGAAAATGCTAAAACGGACAAGAGGCATGGAAACCAGATCGCCACGCGCAGGGATTAAGGACACCCCCAGGAAAAGCGTCAGATGGAGTCACTTGCTGTGCCCACTTGGAGGCTGTTCCCGAGACAGGGCAGCCTCTGGCGGCCGCTCCGGACACAGGCATTGCGAGTCAATGCTGCCGCTGGCGGAGCTGGCTGAGCGGCTAAAACAGGATGCCCCAAATTCAAGGGGTCGCTAGTACGAGAAACTATTAACAAGAAACATCACTGGCTCAGCGCGGTGGCTCAGATCTGTGGTCCCAGCTGCTCGGGAGGCTGAGGTGGGAGGATCACTTGAGCCCAGCAGTTGGAGGCTACAGTGAGCTATGACGACACCACTGCACCCCCACTTGGGTGACACAGTGAGATTCTGTCTCAAAAAAAAATAAATTAAAAAAATAAAAACTACTAAGGGCTAAAACGAAACTTAAATAAATGGAGCAGGATGCCAGGTTCTTACGATACGAAAACTGTAGAGACTAATGTATCTATGAATTTAAACATAATGTCAAAATCCCAAGTTTTGGGGGGTGGGGTATGCAAATGTAATTATTCAAAAGATCATGAAGAAATATCAACATGTCTGAAAACCTGGGGAAGAAAGCATATGAAATGAACAAGCGAAGTAGGACTATAAAAACACCACAGAGCTCCTGCAACTAAAACCGAGTAGTACTAAGGTGGTGACAGGCAGACAAAAAGATGAGGGAAAAAATTCATGGATAACTGGCAACTTAGGAAATACTAAGAGACAGTCCAAACCACCTAAAAATGTTTCCTTGAGTTTATTGTGTTGTTGGGTAAGTCTTCAACTTAAATACTTAATCCGTTTCTTTTTACTCTACCTGCTCTAATACTAAGAATGTTGAAGACTACGATTCTTCCCCCAAGCACAGCTTTGGCTGCACCTCACAAATGCAGTGTTTCCGTTATTGCTGATTGCTGTCTATTCTACTATGGCTGTTCCTTAGAGATCTGGGCCTGAGGTTTTCCAAAAATGGGGGTGAAGGAGCAGTAGAAAAACTATTCCTGTTTTAAATGTCTTCCAATCTAGATAAGCAAAGACTCCTGGTCTCCCATTAGTTTGTCTCTAATGCCTCTCTCTCTTTTTTGCTTTTTGAGTCAGAGTCTCTGTTGCCTGGACTAGAGTGCTGTGGCATCAGCCTAGCTCACAGCAACCTCAAACTCCTGGGCTCAAGCAATCCTTCTGCCTCAGCCTCCTGAGTAGCTGGGACTACAGGCAGGCACCACCATGCCTGGCTAATTTTTTCTATATATTTTTAGTTGTCTAATTAATTTCTTTCTATTTTTAGTAGAGATGGAGTCTCGCTCTTGCTCAGGCTGGTTTCAAACTCCTGACCTTGAGCGATCCGCCCGCCTCAGCCTCCCAGAGTGTTAGGATTACAAGCGTGAGCCCAGCCTCTAATGCCTCTTTTAACACCAGTGTCTTTTAACAAAACACAGACCAGGCAGCCGGACACTTCCCCAGGCAGCGCTGTGGACAGCGATGGTGCAGCCTGGCCTCTCTGATTACATGTCGATGGCTCCGTTACAAAGTTTCCTTTCAACATGAGTTTAAGAGAAGTGAGCTGATCTAAAGGAGCGCTTAAACAGGTGCGAGGCTGGGCCACACCAGGATGGGTCAGGCAGATAAAGTTGGCTGGAGGAACCCACTAGCATTTGGGACGCCCTGGCAGATGGCAGTATCCCCCAAGCCAACCGGGCCCGTCTAGAAGAAGGCTGTGCCCCTCTGGGGCCTCGAAGGGGTCCGACAGCCCCGGGGTTGCCCCACCCTGCTGATGGACTACCAGGGTCCTCCGAGAGCTTGCGGTGACTGCAGGACTGGGGTCCCCTTCAGCACGGGATCCAGGCAAGGCCGAGAAGACTCCGCCAAGACGTGCCCAAACACCCCACAGCTTACAGAGCCCTCTCACACCCGGTGACTCCAGAGTCCTCTGAGAAGAGGGCAGACGCCCATTGTGCAGATAAGGAAACTGAGGCTCACAGGGTGACATGGTTTGTCCTGGGGCCTGGAGCAAGACCAGGAAGCCAGGGGGCCAGGGCGGTGTCTAAGCTCAAACCTTAGGGCTCTCCGTTGTGTGCCACCCCCAGGCTCAGACTGGTGTTAGCTGCGGGAACTGAACCAGGGGATGGGGTGTCCCAGGCCAGACCAACCACACCACATCCCTCAAAGGCAGTAAATACTGCATGATGGGCCTCACAAGCCCCCCAAAAACTCAGCCTGATGCATTTAGGGGTACCGGAACATCCATCCGCAAATGTTTAAAGGGCTCCTGCCAGGGCCAGCCAGGAGGGAACATTCTTGGAGCCAAGACCACCGCCACAGCTCCAGCTGCTCGGGGTCCGCGGGAGGGGAGGAAGAGTGAAGGAGGACAGTGGATAAGTAAAGACACCCTCCTCCCACCCCAACCTCCCCACCAGGCACTGCTTTAAGCTTGTGGCAGAGGTCTGGGGGGACGATGGGGGACTGCCGCTGTGTCAGCACCACCTCCTCCTGGAAGCCTTCGGGCCCGACCCTCTGCCGAGGCAGGGAAGTGTCAGCACCTCCAGTTCCTAGGGGCTGCTTCCGGGGGGATGGCAGGCGGCCATGGGGATTTCCAGGCCTCCGGGAGCACTCCGGCCACCCTGCGGCCACTTCCTCAGGCTGAGGGGAAGGCCGGCGGGGCAGCAACATGATGTCCCTCCCTTTGGGGGTGGGGGTGCCAACATGAAACACCCTGGCCACCCCCTGAAACCCCTCCTCCCCCAGGTGGAGTCCACAGGGCACCCCCAGTGGGTTTCGGAGACAACTGCAAGACGAACTGTCTGCCCCAATCCCAGAGTCGGGGAGGGACACAGCCTAAGAGGCCCCAGTCCCAAGAAACACAGAGCGACAGTCAGAGGCACTGGAGACCCTAAAACAGCCCTGAGGATGTGCCTGCCCCGGCCTCCCTCAGGGGCTCCTGTGCACAGCCGGGGTGGGATTCCTGGATCATACGACAGACCACTGTCTGCCATAACCCTCCATGGTTCCCTGCTGCCTCCGGAACATAGACAGGGACCCCTCGGTGGCCCACGAGGACCGCAGCAACCCACCCCATCCCCTCCCTGTCCTTACCTCCCAGCCCTCTGACCACACCAGCCTCCTCACTGATTCCAAGAGCCAGGCACCGCCTGGCCTCAGGGGCTCTGCACAGGCTGAGCCTGCTGCCTGGCACGCTCTTCGCCCCACACCCTCACGGCTCCCTTCCTCACGCCCTCAAGTCTCTGCTCGAACACCCGCTGCCCGGAGACCTCCCCTCCCCGGGCTGCAGCCTGGCCCTGCCACGTGCTCCTCCCAGCCCTGTCCACGTGCCATGTATTTCAGACAGGGTCTCACTCTGCTGCCCAGGCTGGAGTGCGGTGCGCAATCACAGCTCACTGCAGCCTCCAACTCCTGGGCTCAAGTGATCCTCCCACCTCAGCCTCCCAAGTAGCTGGGACTACAGGCACGTGCCACCACACTTGGCTAATTTTTAAAATTTTGTATAGAAACAGGGTCTCGTTGTGTTGATCAGGCTGGTCTGAAACTCCTTGCCTCAAGCGATTCCTCCTGCCTCAGCTTCCCAGAGTGCTGGGATCACAGGCAAGAGCCAACTGCACCCGGCTGCACCTCCATTCAATTCTCAGCCCTCCTCCCTGCTGGCTCCCAACCCCCAACACCCCTCACCCACGGCATGGGTCAAGGTGACGACTTGTCACAACTTGTCCAGGTCAGCCTGGGAAGTCTTTGGTTTTAGTGCTCGAAGTCCCAGATGCCATGGAGCCCCCTGGGCCGAGTCAATCCTGGGCATGCCAGGATGGTTGGTCACCCTAGTGCTAGGCCTTGTATACAGTAAGTGCCTAATACATAACTGAGTGAAAAGGGACGGGGCAGCTGGACCTCACCCAGGCCTTACAAGGTGGGTGGGATCTGGGGCTCCATGTCACACCTCCTCTGAGCCTCAGTTTCCCCCTTATGCACAGACTAGAGACACGGAGGCTCAAGCTCTCATCTGAACGCGAGCCAAGCCCCCACCAGCCCCCACCCGGAGGCCAGGGCCCAGACTCCAGACACGAGGGGTGGAGGGCCCGACAGGACAGCACTCTGTCCGCTGGGCTCCATGCGCCAGGCCCTGTCAGGTCGTGGACAGTGGCTGCACCTGGGGCTCTCAGAGTCACTGCCCCCACCTGATCTGCTCTGCAGACCCCCGTCCCCTCCACAGCCCCTGCACCCTACGCTCCACCTCCAACACACCCCACACGCGATGGCCGGGAGCTGCGGTCCTACCTGAACCTCCAAACTGCGTGCCGGCCAGAGAGGTGGGCCGGCCCTTCCCGTTGGCCACAGGCAGCGGGAACATCTGCGGGGAGAGGAGGGAGGAGGTGAGTGGGAACACGTAGCAAACTGAACCCCGAAATCCCAGGCTCCACACCGGGGGACAGCGCTTGGGGACCAGCAGCCTAGCTCCACCCAGGCACATCCCATCCCACTGGATACTCAAAGACCCCGAGGCCTGTCATGCCCCAAATCTGGGCACACCGTGGGCCCCGACCCCCAGGGTGAGAAAAGGCCAGACAGTGGCTCCTCCAAGGGCAACAGTATCCAGCAGAACTTAAGACTGCTGTTCCGGAGATGTGTTTTCTGCTGGGCAATCAATACAACTTATCCCCTCCAGAATCGATACAAACTTGCCTTTACTTTTCAACTTTATTTTTTTTATTATTTTATTTAAATTTTTTTTTTTTTTAATCAACAAACCACAGTGTTACTACTTTTCGACTTTAAACACTGCCTGTGTGAGCTGACACCAGACCCTGTGGGGGAGGTCCCCCAAGCTGGGAACAGGGGTCAAGTGTCCCCCACCTGTCTCCCCCAAGGGTCCTGTCCTTACCACACCCTATGAGGGTGGTCACGAGGCCTGCAGAGCCCTAGGCATCAGCCTGCCTAGCAGAAAGAGAAACTAAGGCTCAAGGAGGCAGCAGGTTGAGGCAGGGGTGACGCGAGCAGCTCTGGGCCTGGCAGGCAGCTGGAGGGGCCAGGGAAGGCTGCGCAGCACAGCACAGCGATTCAGCCGTGCTCCCAGGCGCTAAGGTGTGGGGCCACCTCCCTCCCGGCTCACCCGTACCCAGGGCACTAAGTCCCTAAAGATTAAACAGCTTAGCAGCATTAACCGGAAAAAGCCAACATCAACAAACCCTTTTGCCACAGAAAAAACAAAGCATGTCCCTGCCCTGCCCCAAGGGGCTGGGTTTAAAGATCCTGTCTGGGGCCCAAGTGATTCAAGTGGCTGGAATCCGGGCCAGGGGCTCACTAGACAGAGTCGCCCCAGGGGTCCCCGAGACCTCCCCGCCAGCTGGAGGGTGAAGGCAGGGTGTCTAGGGCCGTGCCAGGGAGCAGGATCCCTTCCCCACGCCCTCATTCTACAGAAGGGGAAACTGAGTCCACATTCTCATCTGGCCCAAGAGAACAGCACAGGTTCACAGGGAGGGGTGGTGCCGCCTGGAGGTAGGTTCTGACCCAGGACCTCATCCTCCGTGTCACATGGGAACTGGCCCAACCTCCCTGCAGGGAAAGGGAACAGGGCCGCTCTCCCACTGGGAAACTGAGGCCTGCTGTGGGGGAAGGGTGGCATGGCCAGGACCAAATGGACCCCAGGCCTACGGCTCAGCCAAGCATATGGCAAGGGGGGCGTGGGGTTGCTTCTATTTCTGTTCAACTGTCGTCTAGGATGCCAGGGGCTGTGGTGACGTGGCACCTGCCATGAAGGGACACCGGGCCGTGTCCTGAGGGCTCTGCAGGCCTCGTGATCAGCCCAGACCAGCACCTGCACCCCATGGAGCCTCAGTTTTCTCGTCTGTGAAATGGACTTGGGGCTCTGGTCACGTGGTGGGCCTTCTGCACAGCCTCGGGGCCAGGGAGACTGGTCGCCAGTCTGCCAGGGTCTCAGCGTAATTGATCTGTGCTTGCTCGTTTCAGCCCAAAAGGAGTTGTTTCAAAGACACAAACTGACTCAGTGTCTCTGGGGCAGGTGGCACAGGGGCAGCTATGAAGGCACAGAGGGACCTGGGCAGTGGTGGCGGCTGCCTCTGCACCCCTGACCGCCCAGGCAAGCCACCCTCATAACATCAGGTAGAGGAAAACGGGGCTCTGCGCAAAGCCCAGGGGAAGACGTCTGGAGGGGACGCACCTCCCCTCATCTCAGCCTCAGTTTCCTCATCTGTGAACTGGGCTAATGGCTCTGACCTGGGGTGGGGGAGACCTCTGCCTGGCGGCTTGGGGCTCTGAGTCCTACAGGGCTGAACCTGGGCCCCCACAACCCGCCAAAAGCTGGTCTGTTCCGGCCCAATAGTCTGTGACTTGTCAGTTTAACAAAAAAACAACCAAACCACCTCTGGTTACTCAGCCGGGGAGGCAAAAATAAAACGGAGCTTAAAAATACCGGCGTGGCCCTTCCGGAGCTGTGGCCCCTCTGTCCCGGAGGCTGTGTTTTTCCACAGAGTGGCTGATGTTTCAGTTTGGGGACTTTTGTTTTTGACAGACCTCAGTGGCCTGGGCTTCGTACCAGGGGAGGGTTCAATTCAGACTGAAAGTGCCTCCCCCAACCTGTTTCAAACCAAAATGGTGCTTAGCAGGGGTGGGGGGCAGGTTTAAGGCATCGTCCACAGTCAAGCCCGAAGAAGGAAACCGAGATTCCAGGGTTTTTCAAAGAAACACTGACTGGTCCCCCTGACACCCACAATGTGTGGCCCCACTGCACAGATGGGCAAACTGAGGCCCCCAGGTCTCCAAGACGCCCACCAGCTCACAGCACCCAAGGAGGCTCCGGTTTTCAGCCTCACTGAGCTTCAGCTGTGTGACCTCTGGGAGCCAGTGCCCCCTCTGCGCCTCCATCGGCCCAGCTGCAAAAGGAGCCATTCAGACATGGATCAAACCACCTGGGACACCTATGGACGCACACACGTACCCCACGGAGCCTGTCATCTCCCCAACAACCAGGACCCTAATGATAGTGCTTCTTCCTGGCCAGGGGCCATCCGTGGATGCCACTCCTGAGACTCCTAACACGGTCTCCTCCTGCTCAGCCACACCCAGGCTCCTGGCGAGGTGACCACTCCACACCAGCCATCCCGTGTGACTAAGCAAGGAGTTGCATTTATTATCGGTTCTCTGCCCACATGAGCCGGAGAGCCCTGTGCGGGCCAGGATGGGGCAGCCCCATTCCCAGCACACAGGCCCACTCAGCACTCCCTCTTTTTTGCCTCTGTGATGGAGCAAATGGCCCCTGACTGTCCCCATTTTATAGATCGGAAGGTCAAAGTCACAGTTTGCTCACCAAGCCAAGCTGAGGCCCCAGGGCTGAGAACTTGAGGCCAAATCCCAGCGCCCCATGGAGAAGCCAGAGGCCCCAGGCAGTCCTTCCCTCTCTCTGGGCCTCAGTTTCCCCATCTGTAAAGTGGTGGGCTGTCCCCATTCTGTGGCTGGGCAAAACCCCAATGCTGCACACATCGCCACAGGGCCGTCAGCCTGCCCAGCGGAGAGGACCCCACCTCCCTCAGCCCCTCCCAGAAGACCTCCCACCCAAACAGACCGAGGCTCCCTGGTTGGGAGTGTTTTCAGCAGACCCGGTCTTTCCACTTAAAAGCCTGCCCATGGGTTCACGGGGCAAAGGGGGTGTCTAACAGGTGGACACAGGCCTGGGCCGGGCTTGGGGGGAAGCGGGGTTCCGGCTTACCATGCTGAAATCCAGGAGGTCACTGAGTTCCTTGTCTGTGCCCACGGGCGCCATCCTCTGCGGCTGGCTCATCCTCTGGCAGCAACGGCGGGTGCTGAGGCCGGGGTGGGCACCTCAGGCCTATAAACAGCCCTGCACGGGGGACATGGGGACAGAACAGGGAGGGGAGAGAAGAGAGTTGAGCGACCATGGCCTACGTGGACAGAGAGGAGTGGGGAAGCCTTTAAAAAGCCTCCTGGCTGGCCCTGAGGGTCTAGGGGAGAACGAGGAAGCTGGAACTCCAGAGCTGGGGGCAGTGCAAACCCGTCAAGAGCCCACAGGGAGTTTAAAAAGTGGGGAGAATCCAAGTTCCCTCGATGCCCCTTGGTGGCCACCAGGGAATCAAATTGCAAGTTTTAAACTGGACATGAAGTGACCAGAACCTCCCCTGGCTCCACATATCCCCTTTCCAGCCACTTCCAGGCTTCCTACCAGCCCCACCCCAGGAAGGGGAGGGGTGGCACAGCCCCGCCCCAAGGGAAATTTGGTAACCCACCCAGCAGCTGTCACAGCACACTGAAGTCACCCCCAAATTCAAACTGAGAGAAATCCACCAGCCAGACAGCCACGAAGCCCCTTCCTGGGTTTGCAACTCAATGGGGGGGGGGGGTGCCCTTTAGAGAGACCCATGAAGCTTCCCTCCACCCCCAATAAACTCAAACCAATTCAGAAAACGAAAAAAAAAAAAACTACCACCCTAGGTTGTTTTATTGCCATGATGTATCCGGGAATTATTTTTAAGTAACTTTGAAAACATCCCTTGCCTCTGGCCCCTGGGGGTAAGGAGTCCCAAGACCAGGGTCCCCCGCAAGGTCCAGCTCCGTTCTAGGATGGGGGATCTACCTGTCAGGCACCATCCCACACAGGAAAAAGGTGGCAGAGAAAGGTGTCTTGCCCCAAAAAAGGCAGGCAGGTGGGGGTTGGGGAGCGCTGGGTGAGGGTTCCGGGGTCGCGGAAGCCCCAACTTCGGCAGCAGGGAAGCCCCGCTCTTTGTCTGCCCACCGGGGACGGGTGTGAAACAAGCGCCCGGGCGCGCCCCCTCCCCCGCGAAGTTTTCTTTCTTTTTTTGGAGGGCGTGTGAAACTGACTTTTTTGAGGAGTACGAAACCGCACTTTTTTGTGGGGTAGTTGAAACCGATTTTAACACAGACTGGGGTGGAGTGGGGCGGGGGGAGGGCAAACACGGGCTTTTATACGGGAGCTGAAAGACTTGTGGGGCGTCACAGGACTTTTGGGGACTCGAAAGGCGACCTGGACGACGTCTGAAACCACCCGGAGCGGGGGGGGGGGGGGGGTGGAGGAAGCGAGCCGCGTCTCTCTTTCTGGGGGGAGGGGCGGGAGGCGGCCAGGAAAGCCCCCCCCCCCCCACTCCCCCCACTCCCCCGGCCGGTGCAGGCGGCGCGGCCCGGGCCCTTTGAAGCGCGCGCCGCCGTCCCGCACTAACGCGGAGCAGATGTTCCCCCCGGCCTCCCCCCGGCAGCCCCCACCCGCGCCCGCGGCCCGCGCGGCCGTCCGGTCCCCGCTCAGACAAAAGGCCTCTCCCGCCTGCCCCGCTGCCCGCACACTCCGCGCCCCACCGGGAAGCTCCGGGGAGGAGGCGCCCCGAGAGCCCCCCGGCCGGGCTGGGGGGTCCCCGCGACGCCCCCCGCGTCCCCGCCCGGGCTCAGCAAAGTTTGTCCCGAGTGCGCGGCCGAGCCGGGGGACGCGCGGGCCCCTCCACGTCGCCGCGCAAAGTTAGAGAACAATGACCGGGGCCCCGCCTGCCGGGCCCCCGCGCCCCCGCGGCGCCCCCTGCCCGCCCGGCCAACTTTGCACAAAGCGCGGGTCCCGGGCGCGCCCCTCCCCCTCCCCCCGCCCCCCGGCCCGGCCCGGCGCGGTTACCTGCTCGGCGCGGCTGGGCGCGCGCGCGGGGCGGCGGCATGAAGCGGGGCCCCGGACAAAGGCGCCGCGGCCGGCCCCCGAGGTCGCGCGTGCGGCGGCGGCGGCGCGTGGCCCGGGCCCTCCCCGCTCCGCCGCGGGCCCGTGCGCCGCGCGCGGCCGGCGGCGCTGGGCAGCGGCGGCGCGTTGCCCGCGGTGCCCGCCGCCCGCGTCGGGTCCGGCTCGGCTCCGGCCCGCTACGCCCGCAGCCGCCGCCGCTGCCTCATCTTCCTGCGGCGGGAGACATGTTCCGCCCCCCGCCCGCGCCCGCGCAGCCCCGCCCCGCGCAGGGCACGCCCCGCCACGCCCCGTGTCGCGCCACGCCCGCCGCGCACGGGTCCTCCGCGCGCGCCCGCGCCCCGGCCGCGCCGCTCGGCCCCAGCGAGCGCCCGCGAGGGGACCCGTGCGCCCCCGGGGCCTGGAGCCTGGGAGCAGGGGCACCCGGGAAGGTGCCGTCAGCCCACGGCGCCGGGACGCGGGAGGGACTATCTTTCCGCGCGGAGGCACATGTGAACGCAGCGCACCTCTCATGACGCAAGTGGAGGAAAGGACCGTGAGATGGAAAGATAAGGCGGACGCAAGTGGCCAATCCGGAGGGCGTCAAAGCCTGATTGGCGGGGTCGCCGGCCATTCGCCACGAGGTCCCGCCTTTCCCCGGCCCCACCTCCCACTCCCGTGGCGGAGGCGGGACTCTCCAAGCGAGAGGCCGCGAGAAGCGGTGGGGGTGGGTCGGGAGTTTTATTCTTAGGTTTGCGTGGCCGCCTGTACGGCCTCTTTGCCTAGGTCGTCTCTGAGTTTCTGGGGCTGGCCCCGGGTGCTGAGTGTTGTGAGCGGGCATCCCAGGCCCACATGGGACTCCATAGACCCATTTTCCTGGCGGGGAAACCGAGGCTCGCTCCGCATCGGGGTCACAACGGAACCCGAGCTGTGCCTTTGCCTGCCGGAGCCTCGTTTCCTCATCTGTGAAATGAAATTTGGATCTGAGTTGGGGCAGACCTGGGGCCAGATCTGGCTTTCTACATTTAGGTCAAAAGTTACCCCGTGGCTTTTGAGGACCATAGACACTGCAGAGTCAAAATGAAAGTAATAATAAACGAAAAGACAATCTTCCAGGGCCTCCTGGGGCCTCAGAAACTGACCCTCCCCTGGGCCCTAGAGACCTTCCATTCCCACCTTGCCCTCTGCCTTCTGCCCGGAACACTGTTCCCACCACCACCATCACTGGGCTGACCCTTTGTGGCCCAGAGAGCACCCCATGAGCTGCAGGTCTGGGGAGAGGCCGTGGGTGGGTCTTAGGGTCTGGGTTGGAATCCTTCATCCTTCCCCACCCCACTATGACCTCCCTGGGCACATTCTTGCTACTCTCTGGGCCTCAGTTTCCCTATCAGAAGAATGGAAGAGCAAAGTGAGGGGCACAGAGTAGGCGCCAACAGCTCTCGCCTGCGGCCCAGCCCTTCCCCGCCTCAGACCAGCACCAACCCCGTCGGTCTGAGGCCATCTGTGGCTGGTTCTGTGCTCACTGCCCCAGCTCTGGGGTTTCTCGAAGGCCAGGCGCACTCCCCACCCACGCTGGGGCCAGAGTTTCTAGACAGGACCTTCAGTTTCACCCATGGAAGAGAAGAAACCAGCCATTCCTCGACCATTCAATTATTGAGCGCTGATGGTATGCCAGGCTTTGCACCCAGCATTGCCACGCTGGTGATGGTGACCAATTTAGTGCCTGCCGTCCACAGCAAGATAAGCTATTGGAGACCCCCGTTGGGCCTCAATATAGCTCTTTCCAGCCCCGTGTTGACTGTGAGGGCCTTTCCCCTGAGTGGTTAAACCCATTGTACAGCCAGGGAAACTGAGGCTGAGAGAGTTCCTCCCCGGGGCTCACACCTGTCAGGAGGTTCTCCTGGCACCCACAAGCCACCATTGTCTTCCCAGGGGAGGCCTGAGTTGGGGCTGAGTCACCGGGCGGAGCAGCCCGTGGGGGCTCCCCCACTCAACTGCCACCTCTGCCCAGCCCCGAGGCCTGGGCGCTCCCTCCAGGGCCCTGGCACAGGGACAAGCAGCCGGGCGGCTGGTGCCAGAGGCCCCTCGAGGGCAGCCCACAGCCCGCCCACCCCCGCCCGCCTGACTGTGGCCTTTGTTCTCCTTGGGGTGTCTGCTGGGGCCTGGGCGGGCAGGAGGCCATGGCTTAGTGGCTTGGCTCAGCCACCTGCTGCCCTTTCCTTCCATTCTAGCCACACCTACCTTGTGCGCCCCCCACCCCCATAGTCCCATTTCTGGTGGAAAAACCAAGGCCAAGGACAAATTCCCACCAGTGGCCGTGGAAGGGGAGAGACATGGAACATGGAGACGTGGGGACAGACACGGCTGTCCCCAGGGAGAGTGGACTTGGACTTGGGACTTGGGGGCCACCTCCTGACTTCTGTTTTCATTTGTCCCTAACACAGGCACCTTTGACTTCTCCTGGGGTGTGAACAAACTGCCCCCCCTTCTCCGCTTCAGACGCACCGCTGGAGGGAGGGCAGGGCGGGCCGGGCCCTTATCGGGAGAGTCAGGCCCTGCTCCGGCACAAACCTCCTTTCATCATTCGGGAGGTGCCGACCGTTGGGGGTGAGGGGCTGCTCTGGTGGGGGGCTCTGGCTCCACTCAGGCCTGCAGTAGTTGGGTCCGGCATGGACAAGCCCACCATGACCCGCCCACAGAGCCCTGGCTTTGCTCCCCTGGGCTCCTTCATTCATTCATGCACGCATTCATTCATCCTCCCTGCTTTAGGGGAGGGGGGTTCTCCAGGCCTGCTGGACAGACGGGCCTGGGAGTCTCCCAGGACTGGGGTGCTGGGGGGGGTCACTGTCCGCCCTCAGTGGAGGGAGGAGTCTCTGGCCGGGGCCCTGTTGGGCGTCAGTGGGTCCTGAATTATCTGGCACCCCCAGCTGTGACACAGCAGAGGGGAGGGGAAGCCTGCAGGTGGACCCCTGTCCTCTAATCCAGGCATGTCCCAGGGAGCCCATGGCGGCAGAAGAGCCTCGCAGGAGGGTCCAGGATGGGTTCTGAGCATGACCCACAGGACCCCTGGCCATGCTGGGGGTGGGTCCCCTTAGGACAGTGACCCTTGGGCTGTGACCACCAGAGTGGGTGAAGTTCAAGCTCTAGGCTGGGAGAACTGTAGGGGCAAAGGCCATGAGGCAGGAGTGAGTGTGGCCTATTTAAGGCTTGGTGCCCAGAGAAACCCAGAGGAGCGAAGGTTGGAGAGAGGAATTGGGTCTTTAAGGCGAGGGCACTAGGGAGCCATGGTGGGAGTTTGAGTGGGAGAGGGATGTGATGGTGGGGGGTGGGTGATGAGCTGGGTGGACTGGGGGATTTGGGGGATAACTGAAGGCTTGCCCTGGTGGGAGTCAGGAGGCACACCCAACCCACCAGTGCTAGGTGTGGGTTAGGGACCCCGGCATGTGAGTGGTGGGGCCCATCTCTGCATGGGGACAGCGTAGAGCAGGCAAGGGGTGTGAATGGGGGACAGGAAGCCCAAGCCCTGGGGTAGTGTCCAGGCCCCATTGGCAGAGCCGGGAACGGCCAGGAGGGGCCACTCTGGACTGAGCCCCTCCTGCCTCCTCCCCACCTGTCCCTGGGGAAGTCCCCAGGGCCCGTGCCACCTGCTGAGGATGCTCCGCCCCTCCTGGCCAGGTGCCCACAGCTCCTGACTCAGGGGCCCCCAGGGCTTGTCCCACCACATTCCGGGGCGGCCTGTGCAAACACGGGGCACCACCCTGTCAGCCCCCACGGGGCATTGTTCAGCCCAGTTACCCCAGGGTGGGGGGCGGGGAGGGAGCTCAGCTGGATTCCGCCACCCACACGCCCGCCCACCTGGTGGCCCGGCTGACCTATGCCCGCCAAGGCATTGGGGTGGGGGCTCCCTGTGCACCCTGAGCACAGTGGGGTGTCCCCTACTTCTCAGGGGTCTTGAGTTCCCTTGAGCTCCGCCCGGGGCACGGAGGAATCACCTCATTGTTCAGATGGGGAAACTGAGGCTCCAACTCCAGAGGACCCTTGCCTGAGTCTGAGCTGGGCTCCCACACCTGGGTCATCTGCCCTCCCAGGCTCCTCCTTCACCTGCACCTTGGAGCCTTCCAGAAGTCAGGGAAGGGTGTTCCAGGCCATCAGCCCTTCAGGGGCCCCTGCCATGTGGAGGAATTTGGGTTCTATTCAAGGGTGCTGGAGACCATGGGGACAACGTGTTCTCATGGGGGACTGGGTGGAGGGGCCGGGAGATCCAAGTGGAGGCCGGCAGTGTGCTGAGATGCCTGGTAGGAGAGGAAAGATGGAAAGAGGCATTCATT